CTTATAACAATTAAGGGTATTGCTTGACCTTTTTAAAAAATAAAAATGTCTTTTTAGTTATTTTCTAAGAAAAGTTAATCTACTTTTCACAGTGCCAACCTATGATAACAAAAAGTGTCAAAGAGTTATAAACCTATCATACATAGATGCACATAAAATTGTCACATTAATGACATAATATAAAAAATGAGAATAGGTTGGGATTCAGTACACACATTATTTGAGTGTTATGGATTGAGCTAGTGTAAAATATCTATAGTTGTGAAAAAATTTGTTAAAATTATTCTACCTTTTCCGAAATAAACATCTGAACTAAAACAAACAAAAAATTTCAAAAATAAAGTTGCATTAGGTTATTAATTATTATATATTAATATTGTGTGTATTTAAATATGCATTTGTTGACACAACTTGATAAATAGATTTAGCATATATTGAATATTTTGTATACACTTTAGGACTTGTCTAAAACAGTAAGCGATTTGTTGCTGTATATTCAAATGGTAGATGAAAGCTTGAACACAAAAAATGAAGAGAACATGAATGCTGATTTATTACTCAAAGAACTTGAGGAATCTATTGTATGCTTTTCTTATAAATATTAAATTAAACTAAATTAATGAAGAAGCTAAATATATATTTTTTATTTTAGAAAACTGTTGAGACAATTGAAACATCTTTGCAACCAAAGTTTGATTTTATAGTGCTTCAAGAATCATTTTTTTTAAATTCTAAGATAAAAGATAACTTTGAATTACTTATAAAAAAATGGAATGTTGTTAAAACAAGACAAGTTCAATGGGTTAAAAGGTTTCTTTGATATTTTTTATGTGATTTTCATTTGTGATTGAATGTTAATTGAATATTACTGTATTTTTTTAAATTGAATTATCAAGTTTGCTTTTTTAGTTTCTAAAGGTGAAAAGTATGTTTTAGTGCCTGGGAGTTTATTATTTTTTTATTTCTCTCAGTTTTTTTAAAATTGTTCTTATATTTATTGTACATTATAGTTTGTCTAAAAAAATTAAAATATAATTGTATAATTGTATTTATAGTATGGCTTTTAGTAATAGAGAAAATAAAGCGTTTTTAAAATAAAACTTTTTACAATAAACTATTAGTTATATAAGGATACACTAAGATTTATCTTAAAAAAAAGTTTTTTTATGACTTTATCCAATGACTTCTTGTTATGACCTTGCCGAAATTTAATTCTTTTATTTTTTAGAAGTATGCACATTAACGAAGTTTTACTCTTTGCTGCTGATGTTGATCAATGGCTTAAAAAAATTGAAATGGTTTTAATTGAGCAACATGGTTTTTCTTCTGATGCTAAACTTTTAAAATTAGAATTGGAACAAGTCAATGATTTGGAAAAAATATTTGAGCTTCAAAAAGTAATAAATATTTTCTTTCAATGTTGTAATTGTACATATAAATATATCTCATTGAGAATAATCAACCTTCAAAGAAATAAAAATAAATAGGGATCGTGGGGCGGACAAAAAGTATGCTTAGAATTACATGTATTTTTTTCAAAATTATTATTTAGAATTGTTGTTTTGTCTTTTTATTATATCAATTTATGCAGAGATAGCTGAAAATTTTTTTATTGTTGCAAAAAGCTGTGTGAAATCGCCTAAATTTATATAATAAAATTATAATATACACATTTATTGCAAAATTTATCTATAGCTAATAATTAACTTTTTAATTACCATGTTTGATGATGTCATAAAGGTTTGATTAGTTTTTATTTTGATTTTTTCCTTTATTGGGAAAGTATATTTTGAACAAGTAGTGTGCATCCGTCTTTTATAAAAAGTCATCATGACTATTTATATTTAATAAAAAGTAATTTTTCTAAGATTAAGATCGAGGTGATAAGATAAAAGATATGAAGAGACATCAGTCACATTATTGTATGATTGGATTTTTTTTTACTTTTCTATGAGTCATAAAATGGTTGCTGCTTGTCGCCTCTTGTTCCACCAACTAAATTTTGTGTGACTTATCTAGCAAAATTTTTTTATCGTATTTGTTCTTTCATGCTCAAAAAATATCTATTTATCTAATTTTTTCCTCAAATATCAATGACTTAAAATTCTCTACTTTTATGTTTTCCTGACTGAAAAAATTTACAGTTTTTTAAGTCTTCCATCCATCTTCATGGTCTTTAAGTTACCTTTTTTATTTTCTAAAAACATATTTTAAATTGCAGTTGTTTCTAGCCATGTTGGGAAGTAAGTTTGTTAAATGGAAAAAAAAAACTAAAACAGATTTGCAAGTTTTGGTGAAGATATGCATCATTTTGTAATTCAAAAAAGTTAAATTATCATGGTATAAAAGTTAAATCATTAACTGTTGAGGTTTTTGCAAAATTCGATAATTTTTTATAAATTTTTTAAAGTAACTAAAGTAATTTAAATGTTGTTGCATCCTTGTTGAAAGTTTGTTTAAAAAATAAAAAATTAGTCTTTTATGTTTTGTAGAGTTGTAC